CACACACACACACACACACACACACACACACACACACACACACACACACACACACACACACACACACAGTCTCTGCTCCCAGTGGGATTCTAGATGAGTCACCCTAAAAGAAAAATCCTGAAATCACTGTTCAGACTTGCTGCTTTAAAAACACCATCACTGTCCTGCCTTTGCAAACCACATTTACCATGATGCATCTGTCCAGGTAACAAGAAATCCTGTCACACAACATAAACCAGGTTAATGAATCACTTAACCTCAAACAATGTGTTGGTTACACACAGATATACACTCTCACTGATAAAATGGGTTTTCTTTCTTTTCTTTTTTTTTTTGACTCACCGTTAATACGCCTCYTTAATCACCTAAATGTTTCTGGTTTAATGGTTTTGATTTTTCTGTTTTAGTCCCACACTTCTCACCTTCTGCTCTCTGGAGTTTATAATCTTATAAGAGATGTTTTCTGAGGAAAAGGCTTTTTACTGTAATAACATGTGGGTTACTGGCTGCTTTCTACTCTTTGTGTACAGAAATAAAACTTTGTATTTGGCAAACTTTTTGTTTGTGTGCACATTTTTATTTTTTTATGTGAACGAGACAAGCCCTTTGAGAATTGAATAAAACAACGTAACTCAGAACGAGGCCAAATACACAGTTTAGAAAGATTTTTTCCTTCTGTGTTTAAGTTTAGCGTTTAGGAGATAGAATATTGTTTATTTCATGCCCCCAAAAGGCAAAGTCAGGCAATGATGTTTTAGCCAGTTTTCATGGCTGTGTGTTACCAAAATATTTCATGAACCAATTAGACAAATTTATGTACAAGAAATGTATTCACCAAAGAAAAATAAACAAACTCCTGATCCTGTAATTATGAGATCGGGAGTCTATTTATTTTTCTTTGGTGAATACAATGGTCTTCCGTACAAATTTGATAGAAATCATCAAAAAGTAATCATTAGATGTTAACTGATAGTTTGGCGCTAACACAGCTGATTCTCACTWATCTGTGGTGGGCATAGCTAACCCAAAAGTTAGCTTTGCTAACTAAAAATATAGCTATGCTAACTCATGATCTGCTAACTGAAAACATCACTAATGCTAAACATGTAAAAAGCAATTAGCAGAAGCTAACACTAAACAAGTAAAAATTAGTGGAAGCCAATGCTAACAGCTGACCGTTAAGACAACTGTCCCTCTGTGTCAAACTATGTGACGGAGGCTGTGTACAAATTCAGAGGCCGGGACCTCCAGGACCTGGCCTACCCGGTCTAGGTGGGCCGAGTCCTTAGTAGACCGCGAAGATCGCAAAAAAGTGGCTGTGAATTTGGACGGTCTAGCCTCCCGTCTTACCCAGGCGTACATCCTGTCGCCTAGCAAACGTGACGACGCTAAACTGAAGCAAAATTAGATCAAAATTAGAAAAATATCAATATATTAGTGTTATTAATATCACAAAACAATAAAATTAATTTAAAGACAATATTTGAAGAACTAACAGACCCGTCGTAGGTGCATGTTTATTTTGCTATACCAGCTCGTTTTTTTTTCTGACAAAAATAATATCTAAAAACATGTCTATGCAAATGATAGAAGTATTAACAACACAACCACTTGAAACCTTTAATTTTTATACCGCCAGATTTTTATCTAAAACGTATTCCTTTCTCTCMCTTCATCCGCCACTACAAGCAGAAAAAAATCCAGTTGGCCTGCATTGCATTATGGGATATGGTGGGCCGAGAAGGATCCATCGGACCGGTCCTTCAGTTCAGGCCACAGCATGGAAGCATTTGTCGGCTGCAGCGGAGGAGTCTTCAGATTTGGACGGCCTATGTCGCAGCGCTGTAACGTAAGCGACCGACGAATTCGGACTTTGGAGGACCCGGCCCACCYTTTTGGACACAGCCTGAGTTCAGTAAAAAATTAGCAGAAGCTAATGCTAACAGCTAACCTGTAAGACGACGGTCACTCCAGGTCAAACACAGAGTTCTGTTCAGAGTCTAAACAGAACCGATTCAACTTATTGGTTTGTTTTGACGGAGCCGCCTTTTCCTGTCTTGGCTCTGGTGGCTTTGATCTCAGAGTTTGTCCTGCTTGGATTTGCTGCACAGTCTGCTCGGCTCTTGACCTTTTTCTTGGCCTTATCACATGCTGATCTCTCGCTCACTACATTATCTGCGCTGGTGGTAGCACCGTCACTATCTTTATGTGCTTCGTGGTTATCTGGTACACCTTGCCCGGCTTCGGGAGTCACGACCCTTTCTGTGTTTTCATTATCTAAGCCATCTTCAGTCGCCGTCCAATATTCTGGCTCTTTATTAGGCTGCTCTGCTTTCAAAGCTGGACTTTTTACTGTTGCTGCTTCTGCCTCAGCAGGATCAGCTGCCTTGGAGCTTTCTGTCTCTTCCACCTCACAGCTTTCAGGTTTTTTATCCATGTGTTCTTCTGTCGCTTTCGGAGCAAATTTAATATTCTTCTTTCCCGCTTCCCTTTTCGTCTTGCTTCCACCGGGCCCCCACTTCTCCTTCGATGCGTCCCAGTAAGTCTTGTTCTGGCGGGCGTGCACGGTGCGGAGGTTTTCGCCCAGCTTTTTCAGCTCCTGGCGGACGAAGGGCTTGAACTTCGGGTCCAGTTTCTCCACCAGCGCGAAATCTCTCCGAGCTTCGTCCTCGTTGCACAACGCTGCGTGAGCTCGGGCCCTCTGGTACACGGCCTTAAAGTTACCTTTGGTGTGATAGAAGCAGGAAAAGGAGAGGAGTAAATGAGAGAAATACCGACATGGATAAGACAGGAGGTCAAAAAGCAGCAAAAATAAAATGTCCTGAGCGAGGCTGAAGTGTCTAGACTGAATACCAGAGGTGAAGCAGGTGAWGGGAAACATCTGGAGTAAATGATGTGAGAAGACAAACAGCTACTTCACATCAGCCACTGCTATAAATAATTCATCTTAGAAGGAGCCAAAGGAGAACAATTGAGTTTTGWTGGTGATGTCCATGTGTGGGTGTGGAGAGAGCACAAAGAAACAGAAATGGGGTTGTGTATGTTGGGTTTTGTTATTTCTTGGTGAACAAAGAAAACAAACGGATCGTTACAAAGAGGAGTGAGGTGTTTTCTGAGGGGTCCCGGTCTTTTTTTGTTTTTAAAATGATGAACAAGACACCTTGAGTTTCTGTCTCTGTATTGATTTGTATTTTCTCTGAAGCTTCAGTGTTTGTCAGTCTGGGACCCCCAGTCTGACTGARAGACTTTATAATAAACTTGGCTTAGTACTATTTAAACATTTCTTATTTCTGTATATTTGATGAGACTTGAACCAAAATTCTCACGACTCCCCTGCAGTACCTCTTCAGACCCACTAGCACGTGTCAAATTCACGGCCCGCAGGACAATTGTGCCCCCCCCCCACCCCCGTAACATTTTACGTGGCCCAGGAGAGRCTTAAAGATGTGTTAATGTCTTAAAATAAGCTGATTTAAAGTCAGCATTGACTAGAAACTACATCTCCCATAATGCTAGTTGTTTATTTTACCTGTGAAATGATGGCCTCCCATCACTAGGTGGAGGTGCACAGAGTTAGAAGTCAGTCGGCAAAATTCGTCATGTGCCACTTTTGCTGTACTGGGAAGTGGGAATTTCCCTCTTACAAGTCATAAATTTAAACTGTAACACCCCTCCAGTGGAAAGTTCAGAATTTAAGACTACAGCTACTTACAAGTCAACAGTACGTAAAACTCTCTTACTTTTACTTTTGTTAGTATTTCTGTATTCTTTATTTCACATTTAGTCAGTTGTACATGTAGTACTTTTCAGTGTTTATAAGAGGACATGTTAAAATGCTGATTCTATGCAGGAAATACCACATAGAGCTGAGAGCTCAGTTATTGAGTGTCAGAGATGCTCAGCTGTAGGCATGAGATGAGGAATGTGATGTTTCCTGTTTCAGGATATAGGATCAGAGCAATTTTTTAAACTCATCTTTCCTATTGTGTATTTCCAGCTGCAAAAGGTAGCGCGACCGGGTTGAACATGACCTGTTTGCCTGTTCCCCCATGTTTTTTGTCGTGTGTCTCTTCATGAATGCGTGTTCTTAACTGCAATTTTCGTTCTACATCGCATCCCTGATGTTATGTGAATGACGATGTGAATCTGAATCTTTTAGTCAAACACAAGTAAAAAACAGCCCCCTGCATGAAGAGGTTGTGACCCCGTCATTAAAGACCTCTGCTTTAAAGTACAGTCTGTGTTTTCACCTGCCTACCTTTATGCTGCCTCAGCACTCTGTCGTTCAGCTCCACCACTTCCTGGTACTGTTTCAGCTCCAGCATGCACTGGCTGAGGTTGAGCGCGAGGGGAAGACGCACCTTCTCCAGCGACTCCCAGTCCTCGCCTCCTTGGTCCACCTGCTGGGAGGACAGGGTGGACGAGCGGGGTTTGAGGTGATGGATGGTGGGGGCAATTTTGAGAAGATTACAACTCAAACTACAGCGTACAAACACCAAAGGTTAGGAGAGTAGATGAAGATAAAACGTTGAGACTGATTCTGAGGATTGTGAGAAAATAAAAATAAAAAAAAGATGAAGGATGAGGCGCAGAGAAGAGAATTTGTCGGCTGTGAAAAATGGAGTTGAGACAGTGAGGTGGAACAGAGCAGTGAGTTGAAGAAGCAGGAGCTCCAGAYCTGTGACAGTGACATCTCTGTGGATATCTGTTATTTTTAGCACCTTTTCTCTGCTCTCCACTTTGCAGACATACAGCTTCAGTGGCACAGTTTTTATTTCAGGGGGAAAAAAACATCTCATTATTTTGAATTTACTGAAATGATTATTTTGCAGAGAATTAGTTCTAATGTTTTACTGGATAATTTTATGGTCAATGCAGTGCCTTCATCAAGTATTTAAACCCCTTGAACCCTTTCTCTATTTTGTCCGGTTACAACCACAAACTTCAAGCATTTTACTGGAATTATACGTCTTAGAGCAACGCAGAGTAGCACAGAATGAGGACGAAGAAAGAAAATCATAACATTTTTTACAAGTAAAAATCTGAAAGAGTGTGGCGTGTGTTTGTTTTCAGCTGAAAACAGTCAGACTGGGTTAGGCTCTCAGCTGGATCTGAACTGTTCCACTGTGGGGTGGGCTGGACTGGATGTTCCAGGTTAAGGTCCTGTGGTTACCTCCATCTTCCCATCAACTCTGACCTGCTTCTTTGTCTCTGCTGAGAGAAAAACAACCCCACAGCATGATGCTGCCACCACCGTGTTTCACTGTGGGGACGGTGAGTTCAGGATGAGGTTTTTTTATATTTAAAGTTCAATTTGTGTCTGATCGCAACAGAGCACCTTCTTCCAGACATTTTCTGTGTCTATATGGCATGACCAACATTTGTTCAAAGCTTGGTTTACTGTTTTACAAGCTAACCCTGCTTTAAAGGGGCAGTATTATGTGTTTCTCAGGCATATATTTAAATACTATACTATAATAAAGTATCTATGTCACCTCTAGTTGTTATTAAAATGCTGTTTTTATGCTTAAATATAAAATAAACTTGTCTTCTCATCACTTCCTCTTCTAAACGCCTTGAAATTGGCCTCTGCCTCTTTAAGAACCACCTTCTGCTTCTGTCTCGCCCATTTCGGTGCGGGTTGTGGGGGGGCTATGATGCAGTTTACTTGGCATCTGAAAATACATTTCCTCAAAGGTATTTTGAATCTGAAAAGAGCTTCACTGAGTGAAGAGTTCAGCAGACAGTTTAAGTTTCACTTTCACCCAAGAGCCTGCAGGAGTCATGGGCGGGGTGTGTGGGGAGGGG